GACAGGGTGACTGGCTAGGAGAGGGGGTGCAGGAGGAGGGAGGGGCGTTCCCTGGGCCTTCCTGGGTGGCCTCCTCTCTTCCCTGCTGGCCTGGCTGGTGACACTGGGTTCCTGAGTGACCTGGCCTTCTGTTGCCATTTCAGATCTGGCAGATGGGGAGTCTGGACAAGGTGGTGTCCTGGGCCCACCAATTCCTCTACACCCACCCACTGTGGTTGGGACAGTTCCTTGGCTTCTTGAATATCTATGACACTGACTCTGCCAAAGCTGTGTACAGTCGAGGAGGTGAGGGTTCCTGGGAGAAGGTGGAGCTTCCTGAGAGCAACAGGCTCAGGGCACCATGTGTGGAGGGGTCCTGGGCCTATGCCCTAAGTCTGGGCAGGTGAGGTCCCCACCCTATTTATCACCAGGCCTCATCTGGGAACCCCTCAGTCCCTGCCTGACTCAATCTTCCCTTTCTTCTGCAGATCCTAAGGTCCCATTTGTGTATAACTGCTTCCTCCAGTGGATTGGTGAGTGGGCACCTGCCTTCCCTTCCCACTCCACTTTGGTGCTGGGGGAGCAGCATGCTTCCCTGGCCTGTCGCTCCCTGCCCTGTTTCCACTCAGTCAGTTATCCCATCCATCAGACTGCCTGGTCCCCATGTTCCCCTCTTAAGCTCAGCTGCTCAGTGGGATTACAGGGAAGGAGGCAGGAGAGCTCCGGGCTGGCCAGGGAAGTAGCCTTCAGGTGCCTTCTCCTGCAGGGTTTGTCTCTTTCCCTGCATGGACATCTATTCCACTGGTTCTATTTCTCTGTTAGAACTCTGACTAATACAGAGTTTGGTACCAAGAGTGGTTATAGAGGAACAGAATCTTTGGATGAGTTTCCTGAATTGGCTTCTGGGTTTTCCAGAATTGGCTCTCTAATAGAAGTAGTTAGAAAGATACTAATGACTCTGTGGTCAATGGTAAAGAGGACACAGGCAGTCCAGGGCATGAGGTAGCAGTAGAGATACACAAAACATCATCACTGGATGCTACTAACCAAATTCTTATAAAAGGCAAGGTTCTGATGACCATATATTTGATATCTTATGACATTTTAGTCAGACTAAAAGGTATAATAAGACTGGCTGGTTGCTCCTGGCTGCACTGGAGAAAGTGCGGAAAGAAACGGATGAGACGGGGGATTCGAATTGCAGCCCAAACTACAGGTGGAAGATCAGAAAGCTTCTTTGCCTATTTCCTCTCATTTGTTAGGTCTGGTGGGTTTTTATCTTGCTCCTTCATCTGCTGTGTGTTTTTCTGTCTTCTCGTTTTGCTTATCTTACTGTGTTTGGGGTCTCCTTTTTGCAGGCTGCAGGTTCATAGTTCCCGTTGTTTTTGGTGTCTGTGCCCAGTGGCTAAGGTTGGTTCAGTGGGTTTTGTAGGCTTCCTGGTGGAGGGGACTAGGGCCTGTGTTCTGGTGGATGGGGCTGGGTCTTGTCTTTCTGGTGGGCAGGTCCACGTCTGGTGGTGGTTTTGGGGTGTCTGTGGCCTTATGATTTTAGGCAGCCTCTCTGCTAATGGATGGGATGGTGTTCCTGTCTTGCTAGTTGTTTGGCATAGGGTGTCCAGCACTGTAGCTTGCTGGTCGTTGAGTGAAGCTGGGTCTTGGTGTTGAGATGGAGATCTCTGGGAGATTTTTGCCGTTTGATATTAAGTGGAGCTGGCATACAGAGTGAAGTAAGTCAGAAAGAGAAAAACAAATACCGTATGCTAACACATATATATGGAATCTAAGGGGAAAAAAAAAAGGTCATGAAGAACCTAGGGGTAAGA